CTCCCTTCTCCTGGAATGCATGCTTCCTCCTCTCTGCCCATGAGCAGGAGGAGTTTCCCTCTGGCTTCTTTTGACTCCTGCCCCATTTTCCCTTCTCATATCCCCTCCCTCTTCAGCGCTATAGGCAGGGAAACTGAGGCTGAGGAAGGGAAGGGGAAGCATCATCTTTCAGGAGCTCTGGAGCAGATGTGGAAGAAGCTGAAGTTGACTTTGGACCTGTTCTCTCCCTCCTTCCCAGCTGCCTTGACCTCCATGCAAGTGGCAAGAGGCAGTGGGGTGTCTTGTGGGGTGCCCCTGCAGCATGTGTTAAGGCCCCTTAGCATGCTGCTGCCAAAGGTACTCTACCCTAAATCCTTACCTCCAGTTTATGTCCTGGCGCTGGGTGAGTGGGCTTAGCAGAGCTGTGTTCAGATCACTCTCCTCCTGCTCTTAGCTGGCACAGCCCCAGCCAGTCTCTCTCCTCCTTCAGCCGCCAGGCCAGGAGGGGGGTGTAGATATGGATGTGCTGCGTACCCCACAAAGCCTGCATTCATGGGATGATTGCAGGTGCACAGACCCTTATCAGATACCCTTGGGACCAGGTCTTTTTGGAATTTAGAAAGATAGGGTGCAAACACCATATAGAATGCAATATCCCCAGGAGGCCTGGGACGGCATCCAGAAAACAAATACTGTCCCTGGCATTCCTGCAGTGAGACAGAGAGTATCTCCCACCAAAAGACCTAGATAGCGACAGCGAATAGCTTTCATGTCAAATTTTGTTGCCAGATAAGTTTGCCAAAAACTTATGGACAAACTTGTGGTTTTCAGTGCATTTTGGATTTTGGCATTTTGGAAAGGGGATCGCAGCTTTGGCCAACAGATTGCTCCAAGCCGAAGCTTGAGAAAGTTCCAGAGGGGTAGGAGGGTTTCTGGAGGCTAGGTTCATACTGGCCTAAGGGAAGAGCAGGTGCTTGAGGTGCTTGTCTGTCAGCCTTCGGGGGTGCCACTCATAACTGTCCCAGCCTGTCCCTGAGCCTGGGCTGGGGGAGCTTCCCAGTGCCCTTGCCCTAGAGACTCCATGTCTCCTGTGGGGTGAAGGAAAGGGGCTGAGGAATTGGGAGGCGGAACAGGACTGACTTACCCAAGGATTCTTAGCCCAGGGCCTCAGCCTTGACCTCAGCCCACATCCCCTCCTCCTGGGTGGCTGCGGGTGATTTGTGACTCCCTGGGGAGCCTGGGGCCGTTGCATTCTCTTTCCAGTCAGCTCTTCATCCTGATAATGTCCTGCCAAGGGACAGTTATTGTTTAAACAAACTCCCGCATCAGAGACATTTCCATCTAATGCCCTGGTTTAGGGAAACCAAAATTGAAACCCCTCAGACTCAGAGGCTGAGGTGATGGCTGGGTCAACCCAACATGGGACCATTTTTCAAGTGTTTCAGGTCTGCTAGCTTCTCCTACGGCCCCTGCACCTTCAAATTTGCTTTGATTTATTTCAACAAATCCCAAACTCTAGGATTTTCAAAGACAATTGCTCTCTCCTATTAGGATTCTTTTGAAATGGAGAAGTTGGAGAAGCAGTGGGTGGGAAGGGGAGGGGAAGTTGTCCCTCCCCAGGCAGACCAGAGCAAGAAGAAAGAATCTGATGCAGCAGGAGAGAGTTAGGTCAGACCTCAGAAAGAACTTCCAGGCCGAAGAGGTATGAAGAACGGGCTCAGGACTGTTTTATTATTTTCTCTAGGACTACCTGGCTCTTCCTGTCAATCCTCCCCCTCCAATGCAGAGAAGGTGTCTCCTTTTCCCTGGGTAAGGCCGTGCATATGAGGACTGGCATACAGACCAGTGGTTTAGAATCACCACCCTGCTTACTCCGCCAGCATCAGGCCAGCCTCCTTTAAAGGTTTCAGAAGGAGACCGAACCTTGAATCCCAGCATCCTTAGAAAGGTGAGTCCCTGAGAGCTCAGCGTCTGGTCTCATTTATGGGGAAACCAGGCTCGGAGAGGCTGGGGCTACTCCAGGCCACACAGTGCTCAGTGCAGAGGTCTGGGCTTCCTGGCTTCCACCCAGTGCCTTCCTCCCCCATCGCAGCCCTGCCCAGTCACATCCTGGCTCTGAGGGGCGGTCGGCTTGCTGGAGAGAGTGGTTAGGAATTCAGGCCTTGGAGCAGCTGTCCAGGCCCGGGCCCTTGCTGTGTGACTCCTTCAGGTCACTTCTGATCACTGTTCTCCCACAGCCGTGGGCCTTTAGCTCCCCCAGGGCAGGGGACAGCAGTGGAAATTCTTTGAGGGTGTGTGTGTGTGTGTCTGAATGTAGTCTCTATGTGTGTGTAAGTCTGTCTTTGTGCGTCTCTGAGTCTGTCTCCGTGGCAAGTCAGCCATGACCCAGCAGAGAGAGCACGAGGGAGAAGAGTGTGTCCCAGCTGGACAAGCGGGGCCCACAGGTGGGGCCCGACGGCTGAGCACTACGGAGGTCTGGAGGCCTGGGGTGGCACAGGATGGTTGCCCGGAAGAGCTAGGCCTCAGGCTGGGAACCTGCAAACTGGACGAGTGCACAAACCCAGCCATCTGCCAGCCAACAGTGTTTCTTTTTTTAACCCCTGAAAAATATAGCCTGCCCAGCCTTCTGCGACACAGCTGGTGGGGGGGGGGCGGGATAATTATGGCCAGAGTGAAGGCAACACTGAGGGGCAGGGGAGTGGCTTGGGCAGTTTTGGCTCTCAATAAACAGTGGCCCACGTTATTTTCAGTTTAATCAATCATTCATTCATTCAACAAAAGTATATTGAGGATTATGTTCTGGGTTAAAAATTTCAGTGGCTCCTGCTTATGGGCACCTAAATACAGGACTGGGTGTGCGCTTATGTTATTTCATTCCCTTTCCATGATCACCTTTTCAGTAGGGCCTAGGCACTAGCCCATATGGCGCCTCTGAGTGAATCAGAAAAAGGAGCCCTAACTTCTGGGCAGACAGCCTCAAGGCAGGACGTGTCACTTGTCAAGACCAAGGCGGGCTGAATTTGAGTCCCGCTGCGCCCCCTAAACTAGGTGGCCTCTTGCAGCCAACAATCTGCGCCCTATACCTGCAGTCCTGCTTTGAGGTCAGTGTCACAATCCTTGTTCGACAGATAAGAAACTGAGGACCTGGGGGGATGACCCGGGCACACACACAATCTGGTTTGAACCCAGCCAGGCTGTTCCCAGGGACGCGGCCTCTCCAGGGATAACCTGAGTTCTCTGCAGGCCCAGAGCTGCACACACCGGCTGGGCAGCGCTGCCGGCCGCAGGAATTTCATGGCCTTCGCTTCTATCTCTATGAAGTGTGAATGGCCACAGGGTGCCCCACTCCTCAAGGGCAGAATTGTGTCCAGTCAGGTGTGTATTGCCAGGGCTGAGAATGGCGCAGAATCTTGGTGTTTCTTGCCTTAAAAAAAAAAAAGGGCATGGATGAATGAATGAATGAGCAATCTGGGCTCTTCTAGCAGAGACTTCAGACTCACTGGGTAAATGGGATATGTATTTGGGTCATCATATGTGACAGCAGAGAGAATGCATGCTTTACCAACATGTATTCATTCACCAAACGTTTCTCGAGCTCACGCTACAGCTCAGGCATGGTGCCAGGCACTGGACGGACGACCGTGCACAGCTGTGGTTCTGCCTGCTGGAGCCTGGAGCTCTGCTGCCTGAGCGGGTCTTCGGGAAGGGGCAGGCACTTTGGATAAGCGCATGGAGGGAGAGGGGCAATTCGGGTGGTGGTGGGGCTTAGTCCCTGTTATTCCCAGATCCTCCCAGACCTTCGCCTGGCCTATAAGCAGGTTATCCGTGGGAATTAGGGGTTGAGCTGTGAGGGTGGCCGAAGCCCCAGGCATAGCTCTGCAGGTCAGCCAGGAGGACCTTTGGCCAGCCTTGCCTGCTCTGGACCAGCCACCCTCTTCCCCGAGCTGCCTGGTACAGTGTTGGGTACCCTCCCCGGGACAAGGACAGCCACACATCATGGCTCTAATTGAAGCCACTTCTACAGTCTTGGGGAAGATGCTCTTGCAATCCTAAAAGGGCTGCATGGCTCGATTGCTCCCTCCCTGCCCGTCTCTAGGGCTAACCCTCTGCTGGGATGTTTCAAGCCCCTTGGCAGGAGAGCTGGGCCCACTGGGAGCTGAGGGATTCTCCCCAAGGCTCACTGCAGCCGGCAAACCAGGCCACCTGTTACACTTTGCAAACCGGTGTTGGAGGGAGCCAGCGGGTGGGGTGTTCCCCTAGCCTGGTGTGGTTCTGGGGTGGTAGGGGGCTCAGTGGAAATTGTCCCCCCAGACAGGCTGTTGAGACCTGGGGCAAGTGGAGTCGTCTCGCTGGGCCTCAGTTTCCTCTCGTTATATACTTGAGCCAAGAGCAGCGGGGTGTGCAGATGAACGTGCCACACGGGGGCATACGCCACGTGCGCGTGGATGTGTGAGAAGCGGCCCTGCGGGTGAGGGTTCTAGTGACGCACAGGGGTGGGAGTAGCGTGCCCCTCTTAGGTCCTGTGCTTTGCTGTGCTTTTCAAGGTGTGTGGCCGGGAGGCTATGTTCCCTGACCCTCGACCTTTGGGGTGAGGAGGGGTCCCCACCACGTTCTCCAGGTTGGTGAGCTTGCACGCGCGCAGGGAGGAGGGGGAAGTGGGGGCTTCCGGGAGAGGACGCCGGTGGGGTGCGGTGGGAGGGGAGCGGGCAGGGGGGCGGCGTGGAGGGGCGGCAGGGCGCCCAGAGCGCTGGCCTTCCGGAGGTGGAGGTGTGGGCTGGGGGGTGGGCGCCAGGTGCTCTGTCTTTAAAAGGCCGGCGGAAGCGCCGCGCGATCGGCCCGCACTTTAAGCGCAAACTTGCGGGCTGGGCTCTCGCCTCGCCTCGGGTGCGGCAGCGGCTGTGGGCGCGGGCCGGCGGCCGCGGCCCCTGGCCCCCTGCGCTTGCCGGCGCTCCCGCCCCTCCCGCAGCCTCCCCTCTTCGCGTCTGCCTCGCTCCCCCGTCTCGCTCCCTCTTTCGCTCGCTCTCCAGCGCGCTCTCTAGCTCGCTCTCATTTTTTCCCTGCTGCTGCCGCCGGCGCCGCCAGGCGCCCGCACCTCCGCCGGCTGCGCTCGCTCGTCGCTCCCGCTCGCTCCCTGCCCAGCCCAGCCGGAGCCCTCGGCGGACCGGCTCCCGGAGCCCCTCGCCAGCCCCTCCGGCCCGGACGCCGGGCTCCGCGGCAGCAGGAGCAGGGCTCGCCGCCGCCCCCCAGCTCGCTCGCTCGCTCTCGCCGGAGCAGCAGCCGAACGCCGCGCGCTTAGCGGAGGAGGCTCCGGCCGGGTGGCCGCCGGCACATCCCCGCTGCGTCCGGGACTCCAGGCGGCTCCGCACCGGGCTCCGTCCGCAGCGTCAGCGCCGCCCGCCGCGGCCGGGGTTCCGGGCTCCGCGAGAACCGAGCCTCGGGCCGCCGCCTCCCTGCGCCCCCGGGGCATGCAGGCACGCAGCGGACCCCTCGCGGGGGCTTAATCCTTGCTGGCGCGCGGTGAGTTGCGGCCTGAGGGGACAGGCAGAGGGGACCGTGCCCTCCGGCCTCCTGGGGCGCAGGCTGCGGCGGGCATATAGGGGCACGGGGAGGTGGCCTCTGGCGAGCTCCCGCGCTTGGGGTGCCGGAGGAGGGCCGGTGCACCGGAGCCCTAGGGGCCGGAGAGCGCGGACCGGACTAGAGGGTCTCCCCTCGGGGCTAGGGTCGGCTTTCCGGATGTCCGGAGGGAGAGAATGGGAAGGCGGCTTTTTTGCGGGCCGGGGAGAAAGTAGTGTTTGTGTACGGGAGATTCCACCGGATGGAGGGTCGTGCCAGCTTTCAGGTGGGGGCGGCGACATTAGCGCGCCCCCTCTGCGGAGAGGCAGGACAGGCGGGGGCGCGGGGCATTATTTGCACCTCTTCGCCGCCGTCTCCGGGCGGGAGGACAGCACCAGCCTCGCGCGCCCGGGCTGCTTTCCCAGGCACCGTCCGGCTCTCGTGCCCGCCCCGGCGCCGCCTTCGCTGCCGGCCGGCGCTGGGCAAGAGCTTGCCCGGGGCCGCGGCGGGTTGGGGCGGCGCCCCCGGGCTTGGGGTCTCCCCGCGGCCCCCAGACTTCGGGGCCAGGCTCTCTCCGGACGCTGGGGACCGTCCCTCACCGGGACCTTGCTGAACGGCGCGGCCGCCGGGCGAGCGGACCGGCCGTGTGCGTGCGCGTGTGTGTGCATGTGTGTGCGTGCGTGTGTGTGTTGGGGGTCCCCGCTCCGGGGTCGGTCTTCCCCGGCGCTCGCGGGGGGAGGCGCCCTCCCCTTGCGGGGGCGGGGCCGGGGGGTGGAGGCCCCGACTGCGCGCGGCGCCCCCGCACCGGGGCGGTCGGAGGCTGTTTGCGCGGAGACGGGGCAGCAGCGGCGGCGGCGGCGGGGAGTCCTGAGGCCCGAGCCTACGAGCGCCCCCTGCTCCTCGGCCCGGGTGACATCCCCGCCCTCACGCTTTCAGTCCTTTTGGACGAGGCGCCTTGCTGTTTTCCTTCTCCCTCTCAGCACCATGCCCGCCCCGGCGCGGGAGAACGCTGGCTTTTCGGGACACCGACTGCGCTGGGCCTGCCTAGCTGGGGACCTGAAGCCACGTGTCTGTGAGAGTGGTGGCTTGCCCCTCTGTCAGTCTGGCAGAAAGCCGGGTGTGACGGGGTTGAGTGTGTGTGTGTTCTCATCATGGCCCCTCCCCCGTCCCTGCCCAGGTAGGAGTGGGGCTTGGGCCAGGCTGGGCGGCCAGTGCTCCGAGGGTCGAGGGTCTCCGTACTGAGCACCGCGGTCCCACAGCCTGCTCCCTGCAGCACCCAGCCACATCCCCGGCCGGCCCCTGGTGAAGTGAAGACTGCTCAGCCCCGTCGCCCACTCCCCCAGGATGTGTCCTGGGCTTGCCCCACTTTCCCTCTGGAGCCGGGTGGGATGCGGGGCTAGGCTTGGGGCCAGGCTCTGGGGCTGTAGTCCAGCTCCACAGGGCCTAGGCAGAGGGAGAGCTTATGGGAAGAGCCTGTGAGGGCTGCGAGGAGCATTTACTAGGAGTTCCTACCGAGGAGAGTGGCAGTCCGAGCCCCTGTACCTGCTCCCTGGCCCCCAGGAGACCACTTGGTCAGAGTCCACAGCACTTAGCCAAAATCCTGTCCTGGGTGGTGGTGGGGCTAGGGCCTTTGAGGATGGTGTCGCTGAGCCTCTGCTTGGCCCTGGGATGGGCGTGCCTGCCCACCGTGAATCAGGTGACCACTGTCTTCACATCCCCCCACCTTTAGTCTTTTTCCACATAAGCTTTTGCCTACCTCCCAACACCGACACGCCTCTGGGGACAAAGTTACTGCCGGCTGAGGTCTTAGTCACTTCATAGGCTACCCCTCCCAGGGGTATTGTGTGCAGGAGGAAGAGGGCTCTGCTTGCTAACCTGAAGGAATGCTCTCCTAATGGATTTTCTCGAGTGAGACGTTGGGGTGGGGTGCAGTCTGCCACTAGGAACAGGGCCTGAGCAGGCGGAGGGAGGCGGGGGCACGTCAGGAGCTGTGCTGCTTTCTCGGCCTCAGTGGCCTTGTGTAGGCCGCTTATGCCCCCCTCCGTCATCCCTCCTCCCTCCTCCCTCCTCCCTCTGCGTCTGGGCGGCTGCGTTCTGTTGGAGGCCTGACGCCTCCGGGAGGGAGCACCTGGCACAGCGCAGGCAGCCCCAGGCAGGTGAGAGCGGGCCAGCTCGTGCTGTGCTAGCCAGCCGGCCAGGCCCGCCCTGCCTGGAAGGCCTCCGCAGCCCCATCCCCTTCTGAGGGGCATAGTCCAGCCTCCAGGAAGCTTGGCCACACCGCGGCTGCCCCCAGCCCCTGCCGTAGGGGGCCAGCTGGCAGGAAAAGATGGGAGCAGGATCCACAGGCTCCTCAGCTTTGTAATTACAGCGGATAGACACGGCCTCTCCCTGAGACAAGTGTGGAGCCGGCAGCCCCTAATTATACACCACCCACCCCAAGACATCTGCCCACCTCTGCTGTCCTCCCCTGCTCGGCCTGGGACGCAACTTTCCAGCGGGCCCCGCTGGCAGCCCGGGCGGCTGGGAGGTCATCGCTTCTGCAGAGGAGCAGCCGCTTTGCCGCGAAGGCCTGCAGGGCCCGGGCGCCTGGGCTCCGGCCGCGGCTCCTAGGGCTGGGACAAGCTGCTGGCTGTCGAGGCCCAGCTGAGGGGGAGGCCAAGGGGGTCGCTTGGCTGGCAGCGGGCCTGGACCAGTGGACACCACCTTTCTATCCCTTCCACCCAGCCTGATGGCTCCTGGACAGAGTGAGGAGGGCTCATTTTCTTGAGTGTCACCTCTGCCCTAGTTAGCAGGGGATCAGCAAAAATTAAGTTGGAGGTTTCACTGCCGTGGGCACTGGTAGCTTTTTCTCCAGTCCTGCAGGCTGTTTCTCCTCTGTTCGCTGTCTATGCTGCTTCCCAGCCCGACCTGAGGCTGGTGGCTCCTCCCGACCGACCAGCTCCCAGCTGGCCAAGTCACAGCTCTGGGGGCTTCTGCCACAGCTCCCTGCTACTCCCCCACCGGGCTTGTCTTGCCCGAGCCTGCTCCTGAAGGGGGCGTACAAATGGAGCTTGCTTAGGGGAGGGGAAGCCCGCCAGCTGCTAGCCCACCCTGCGCTGCCCACCCCCCAGCCCACAGGCCCGAGGAGACCGTTCCTGTCTGGATGTGCTTCTCTTGGCTCTTTGGAAAAACGAGCATCACAAGGATAGCAAAAATCACCCCTTAAATTAGAGCTGATGACTCCCGTTGAAATGTTTTATGATTAACCTCACCATTTAGCAATCTCGTGGCAGCAGCAAGGCATAAATGTATGTGTACACGTGTATATTAAATAAATTGGGGAATGCAGTGCATAATGACATTATCTGGACCCCATTTAATTAACTTAGATATAATCTGCTATAATTGGGAAATACCAGACCGCAATGACAGCCCGTGCCATCCTGGGGCCCAGCCATGCTGACGACCAGGCCCTGTTGTCTCGCTATGCCTCTCGGTTTTTCTGGGGCAGGCACTGGCCACCCATCAGCTGTGACGGGCTATGACGACGGTGCGTCCCAGGAGAGCTCAGTGGGCTGCCCTCCCAGGGCCAGGCCACCTGCATGGGGACCAGGAGGTCTGGGTTCTGCCCAGTCCCCCACGCTCAGCCCTCCCAGCCACCCCTCTGCTCCATAGGGTGACAGAAACTAGCCCCTGGACCTGTTTTCTGGTTGGGGCCATGACTTCTAGTAAAACCTCTGTCATTGTTACAGGATTATTTTTAGTTTTAAATATAGAAGTAGAGATTGGGGACTTGACCTGGATTCTTAAGCTTCTGGCGGGTGATCGCTCCTCAGATATCACTCACTGCCCCTCCTTGGTGCCCGGCCTCAGTGTGGCCTAGGGACAATAGTCTCACCCACAGCCATGGTTATGCTCATGCTGTGCAAGATGGCAGAGCGTGGAGGAGGACTGCATTCAGCCAGTGGCCCCAGCTGTCCAAGGCAGTGCTGGGGTTGGGGAGCCCTCACTTCTCCAGGAAGAGGGAGGGGAGAAGCAACGTCCACTGCGGAGCCCACGGTGCTAACAGCGGCTGCCAGAGACTTGCCTGCGTGGGTCTTGTGCTGGAAAACTAGAGATGGCGGCACGTATGGTCAGGGGAGTCGGAGGGACCTGGGCAAGCATGGGCTTGGTGGCTGGTCCCCTGGCTCTGGGAGAGGAGGAAGGTCAGGACGGGGGTGTTTTCTGGGCTGAACTGGTGGGACTGACGAGCCGTGCCAGCCTTGCTGTGCTCCAGTGACAGCACGTCGATGGGGCTTGCTGATGTGAGCCACCGAGGCCCTCACAGTGCCTGCCCTGGGTCTCAGGTTCCTCTTGTCACACATCCCTGCCACTTGCCTGTGTTCAAACCCTCTGTTGGCCCCTCATTTCTCCATCCACACCATGGCCCTTAAGGTCCTGCTTGATCTTGTGCTTGGCATCCTCTCTGGCCTTGTCTCCTCATCAATCCTGTGCCCTACCCACTGGCCTCTGGTTGTTGGCCTCCTTGCTGTTGCTTGAACTCTGAGTGCTAAGCCCATGTCCACCTCACGGCCTTTGCACTTTCTATTCTCTCCACCTGGGATGCTCTTCTCCCAGATGACCACACGGCTCATGCCTTTATTGCTTTTACTCTGATCAAATGCCACCTCCTCAGAGAAGCCTTCCCTGATCAACCTTTTCTAACAAAGCTCCTTGGGGTCATTCCCTACCCCTCACCTGCCTCATTTCCTTTCATAGCCCCTGGTTTCCTGAAAGAAACACATCTATGTGTTGCTTATTTATCGTCTCCTGTGCCCACCCCCACTAGACTCGCGGGGCACGTGTCCGTTTCATCCCAGCAGCTTCCCCAGTGCCCAGAGCAGGGACTGGCACATAGCGGGTGCCACACATTTTGCGTGCCATTCAGAAGGACTGAATGGCGTGGAAGGAGGGGTCATATTCTATGCTTGGCCACACGACACGGC